AGAAATAGATAGAATTATGGAATAAATGGTAATGAAAAGGATAGCTAGAGTGAGAGGAAAATAGAAAATTAGTGCTAGAGAGAAAGGGAGAGAACAAAGACAGAGGAAGAGAAAAAGAGAGAGAGAGAAAAACACAGACAGAGAAGGCAAAATTTACAGTAGGAGAGAGAAACAGAGGGAAAGATTCAAAGACAAAACTATATATATTCTTGATCATTATAATAGTAAAAGAAAAATCGGGCACTTTGATTGGCAAATTGATTGTGGAACTGATATACCTCTAGAAAACCATTGTTTCCCAGTAGACTTAAAATGCTTGACTTGGGAAAAATGGGAAGGCTAAGGTTGACTAGTCATGTAAAGATGCATATAGTACATTCGCTGTTCATCGAATGTGCAATGTACGAGTCCTCTGACCTTCTTATATAGTTAAGATAAAAAATTTCCTGTTTACTTAGCAGGATAAACAGGATAGATCAGAACATGTACCAAGAAAATATTTTATAAACTGCTCTCAACCTAAAACGTATAGAAATAATTCTTTCCGTAGCGTGTGTATTCCGATAAGACTTGATTGTCAAATAAAGGTTATTACTATAAAAAAGATTGTCAACAATATCATCTCTAGATACATTGCTGATTATCTTTTCAAATCTTATCGCTCATATATGTACATATATATATACTAAATTATCAAGTGAGCCCTATTTTTATGGCGAATGATCCGTATTAACGTATTCCTAATGAACAAAAATAATATTTATATGCATAAATTTTGTGATATATTGCTGGATATGGAGAGCAATCGAGTTTTTCATATTTTTTCTTTTTAATGGGATTATCTGAAATAAAGTAGAAACAATAATCAAAAGAAAAACACGGTTAATTTAGGGTTATAAATTAAACTTGTTATATAATGCCCATAACCGATGAGAATATCCAAAAATACTTTGGCATAGGGTATGCTGATGAGGCACATATTTCCACTGCTAAAAACAAATACAAGACTTAAAAAATAAATAGTAAAACAATAACAACATCAAAAACAGATACGCGAGCGCCACAACACAAAATGATAAGTATTTTTTTTATCGAAATAAGAAATTCAACATAAAAACAAATAAATTTTAATCGAATACTGAATACCCTTCCAGACTTTTACAAGAGACAAATGATAATTCACAAAAATATAAAATACACACACAAAATACGAAAAAATAACTAAAAAACGGTGAAACCATTGGAAAGCAGTTCTGAGAAAACCTATTTTAGTAAAATATTGTTTTGTTTTTACTATAAATTATCTACTTTTTATCTATATATAAGGGTTTTTTTTTCTAATTTACCCTATGTCAAATCTGAATAAAAAATATCAATCCTCACTTTGAAATAACAAATTAACGCTTATCTTTATTACAGTGTGAAACACCTTTCATTAAAAATGGGTCAGCTTGAAAAGTTTTTATTTATTGCAACTAATAAATTCTGTCTATATTTCTTACGACTGGGTTCAATTCTATAATTAAATTTGTTATTCAAATGCAACAAAGTGAAAGTAAACAAAGCATCTAAATTTATAGTCTATATAAATATATAAATATATATTTATTTATTTAAAATACACAAATAAAATTAAATGCGAGACAAAGACCACAAGGAATATTTGCAAGCGATGTTTATTTTATTTAGATATTACCTGCTATGTTATAATAACATAATAATGATATATAAACT